TACCTTTAAAGCAAACTTATAAATGCAGATTAAAATATAATATTATTCAAAATTGACCGAAACGATTGGTACTTCACAAACATACGCTTTCTTTTGACCGAATCGTCCTATCTCCACAATCAATCAAAATTACAATGTTAATATAATGATAATTAAAAATAAGTATAAACGTACATATTTGTATGTTAAGTTACCATCCGTGATTACACACCCGCGCACACATTCACTTAGTTGCCCCAGCCTCATGAAAACTTCTTATCTTCTACTCAGAGAACATCTTTCAACTTGCTTTCATATTTTTGTAACTTATTGTCTCACAATAAAAAAAAATTCAAAACTTACTAGAATCGGTTAGTTCTTAATCATAAAATTACACTAACTATAAAAAAAGAAATAAAAAGAAATAAAGAAACAAATTAACTTATCTTTTCATTTAAAAAATAATAGAACACTTTCCAATGTCTCTTCCTCCTTTAATGTGGCATTTGAGCATATTTTCATTTCTGTCACATTAGGCATACGTCTTACGAATATATGTACATAAATAAAATCTGTGCTTTGTACGGTTTTCTTTGGTTTTGCTCGGTCTGCTTAAAACCGTATATTTTAGAGAGTACAGTTTGTTTATCAAATCCTATTTCGCCATTTGTAGACTTATTTCACTTAACTCCAACTTCATTCGTCAATATTTACTTATGTGAATGTTTTGTTTTCGTTAATATTTAAAACGCCAAATTTCAATTTAAAAATCCTTTTGAATTTGACCAAAGGTATTTTGCTACTCTTAATGTATGTTAACTTATTTTCCAAAACTTTGCTTCTTTTATGTACTTTTACTTCTTCTTAAATATCTTACTACAGCGCTACAGAAGAACAGAAACGCTGCCATTGTCATAGCGGCCGTGGCTCTCTGGGCTGACGGTTCGTCCCTGGTTGGTATGTAAATAAAAAAAAGACGTCTCCCAGTCCTTCAGGGATTAAAAAAGCTGAACCAGCACATCCCCTGTCTGTAAAGTCAGTAGTCCTAAAAGTCCTTCAGGGATGGCGATTAAAAAGCTGAACCAGCACATCACCTATCCGTTAAGTCAGTAGTCCTGAAAGTCCTTCAGGGATGGCGATTAAAAAGCTGAACCAGCACATCCCCCATCCGTAAAGTCAAAAAAAAACTCTTCGTAAAGGTCAACTTGTCAAATTGTCCGTGGGCACTTACCTTAGACGGCTATGACACCAAACTGAACGATTCTGTGCGATGCGCTGTTCTTTTATAATCGGCGTTTCGCTCGCTGGACCTGTTGCCAACATGTTCTCAGCGTACGCTTATGCTCTAGGGAACTATATTTGTGGCTTAATTTATGTTGGCTACGACGTGTTTGACGCGACCTGCATGATATTACTTATGACTAACTTACTGCTAAAACACTCTTACGTGCTGGCCTCTGTTTATCTTCGCTCAAGGGCATTTTCTGTTTATGTGTGTTTGTCCATGTTTGTATATGCACGTTTATATGTGTGATTCTACACCTTTGTACATTTTCCTTTGATGTATTTTCTACCTCTTCTAGGGCTCGCGTGTGTTTGTATAGTTTTATGTCCTATCCTAAGTTCATGTGTGCTCCAAATACACCAGGCAAGTCATGTGCGGCCCTTTTAGCATGCAGTAGATTAGACGCTCAAATGTGGCAGGCGTATTGCATAATCCAAACAGCATTACGGTAAACTAATATAAGCCGTCGCCAGCGGAAAATGCGGTCTTTAATAGCAGCTTCCTCACCTGTTGCCGTTCGAAACCGTTTTGTACTGTTGATAATTGATTGAGAAGCACCAGTGTCCAGCGTGATGATGTAGTTACAGCCCTGGATCTTCCCATCGATCGTTAGGCTGCTATTATGTTTTTTGTTTGAGTAATAACGACCCTAGGGCTACTAAATTTCTGAGTCAGCAGTTGCCCCGCAAGGCTGACTCTTTATAGTTTAACGTCTGTATGTTGAATATTTCGCTGGCATCTTCACTAATATTCCGTGTAGGTGATGTGGAGAGTGTTCAGAACGCGGAAAATAATTTCAAACAAGAGTCGGGACGCGAATCACCATGTCGGTTTTTTTTTCGCCCCGTCTGTAAAAATCGCTTAGCGCTTACTCGGTCTAATCCGATTGTAAATACCCTAAGTAATTAAATTCCTCGTAAGCAATAAATATATAAATTTACGAAAATTCGAAGGTCCAAGTGTTTTTATATAAATTTTCTTGGAAAGGAACCTCCCAGTTAACGCTGAGTATATCCCGAAAAGAAGACTCTTAACATGCTATTTGTTTACGCTAATGCTCGTTGGCTGTGAGAATTGCGACAAATTTTTGGCCATGAAAAACAACAAAGATAATGTTTACGATCACACTAATAACAATTTTGACGAAATTATTGCGGTGATGAGCGCCGAAGATTCATCGGTGTTTGTGTCTAGCCAATTGTACAAGCCATATTGACGCATTGGTATAAATCTGCGATACTACACATTCTTTGGTAAGTAGGTTGTAAAATAATTTTACAATAATTAATTACAATATTTTAAAAGGCCAAGTATAAAATTACGGTCGCGCTTAAAGGCGAAGCAAAAAAATTGATGTTGAGACCTGTAGTACCTGAGTTCATATATAAGTACTCAAATGTTGGCTATGGTATCCGACCTTCATTTTATATTGGAATAAATGGCTGAGGTATATTGTAATAATGTTCATTTGTTTTTATAATAAAAGTAATGAATGTGTATTTAATGTTATGTGGAAAGACTCCCTATGAATCTTTCTTGTTTGGTGTCTTAAGTATTGCTGTAAAATGAATTACTACTCTTCCTGGTTTCAGTCCGCCAAGTCTGTCCGCTACTTTTAGTGCCAATACAGAGATCGGCTAGAAGTAGTCCCTAGCTAATGCATTTAGGAGGTTAGAACGCCTTTTTTTCTCTAACGAATAAAACACTAAGATGAATTGTTAATTCATAACAATTGACTTTATTTAATTTTGGCTTGGCTATTTATACTTAGATTTTACACAATACCTTAATGCTAACGTAAACGTAAAATTGCGACGGGCTATTTTAATTAGGACGGCTAGCGTCGTATTGCATTACGATATGAAATTCTCAGCTAGTTGAAGTGTGACATAATTATTCTTTTTCTTTTTGCAAATGAATTATGCTGATTTTACACAATTCTGTTACATTTTAAAGTGGATGCATTACAACGATATGCGATCCATAACGCAATTATCAATTTACAAATCAACGCGTAGAAAGTCTTCCATTTTTTTGGAAATTATCACTATTCACTTTTCCGTTTTTATTCATTTAACAGAATTGGTACGTTGCCTTTTACCATTTATTGAAATCAACTCTGTTCTCCCTATACTCAGAACACATGATACTTTTTTTTAAGTGGAATTTTTAGTGGAAGTAGGCCAAATGCTAAGTTGTAACATAGTAATCATAGTCAGTCTAAGGATATAGCATGAGTTGTCTAAAAAAACATGGCCAAAATCAAAAACGTAATTAAATCACTTGTATGTTAAATAAGAAATGTTGTGTTTGTATATTAAACCGACAAAATATTTTAATAATCCCATATACATACAAAAAAAAAAGTTGCAAACAACTGGGCAATCTAGAAAAAAATTCTGCGACGAAAACCAAACCTGTGATTTCGGTTATGATAGAGATCCCGTATAGTGTATATATATATATATCGCGTGTATACTCTGACCAATTTGCCCCAGTTTCAATACCAACCCGCGTGCAGAAACTTCCAATATTTCTTCCAAATTTGAAATCGATATCTTTATTGTCGCCAACGCAAACCATTGACAAACAAAGTAGTTCAGGCTGCCTGGGACGGTTTTTCACACCAACCTTGAGGTACCATGATACGCGCGTTGCCAACTATGTTGAATGGCTGGTTTCCCTCTAGGTCTACACCATTATGAACTTAACATTACAATAATAATAATAATAAATAAATTATTATAACCCCCGCTTATGCATAATATACATACATAATATATAAAATATGCATAAAAATAAACAAGGGTTGCTGCTATGTCGATAAAAAGATGACCACAAACTTATCATTGGCCTATGGAAATATCGATTTGCGCTGAAATGATAGTGCAGGCGTATGCCTTTTTTAATCTAAAATGAAATAAAAGCAAATGAATAAGTTATACATAATAATAAGTATGAATAAACACAAACTTACCATTGGAATATAGCAACTCACTTTCATGATGAGGCGGTGACCGGCGGCGTATGCTTATTGCTTAATCTGAAATAAAATAGATAATTACATAAGTAATATATAACAAATTTTTTTTAATACATATATACCTTTACTTTGCTGTATTTAATACAAAATTGTGCCTTGTTCATTGTGGGCGGTGTCCTGCCCCTTTTGTAAACTAAAATAAAATAGGAATCAATGAATGAATGTTAGATATGGAAATATAGAATAATATATTTACCTTATAATGAAGAAGCGTTTCGATCCACTCCAGTTTTTCCTGTCAACAGCATAAATAGCACGTATCCAAGTAGAGTGATCATGTGGATACTACCACTGCCGCAGGATCCTGTTTCTTTGACGAAGGCAAGCCGTGCGACTAAGCGTCCACACATTTGTTTACACTTTTCAATTATTGAAAAGTGTTCGTTTATGAACAGCTGTCGCATGTATAATCTATGCGCGCTTTAAAGAATAAGCGTATATGTTTGTTTACACTTCTCAATAATTGAACATGCATTTTGGTCTGGCCACCTGCTCATCCGAAAAATATCTGCCGTAAACATTTTTCCATTCCTAAAAATACATATATTTCCTTGAAATTTCGCAGAAATCTTGGAAGTTCCTGCACTTTGGTTGGCATTGAAAATAGATCAAATGATTCAAAGGACATAATTATTCACCTAATATGCACGTAATATAAATTTCCACGTACATTCTGTAAAAAATAAAACGATGAGTCTTGCCCATACACTTTTACAGAGTATATATATATGGAGTTGAAAAACGATCATTAATTCTTGAAATTCCAACATGGTACGCCATGGTACGCTTCCAACATAAACCTAAAATATCAAAATTTTCCGATATAAATGAGATAAAATGATATTAAATTAAAAGTCATAGATAACCTGAAGGCCCCAATTCCGGTATTTGGACCGTCCCCTTCTTTCAGGTTTCCTTTAAAAGAGGCTCTTGCATCTTGCACTGCCTTTTCTATGAATTCATCGGTAATGCGTCTCGATGGATGCTCATTGAAAACTGAATTCATTAGGGCTATCTTTGCCGAACTGCGACGTGCTTCAGCTTTTGTGGGGCAATTCTAAACAAAGCGTTAATTTCTTATAATTTTGCGTTTATATTAAACTTGTTTTTTAATTATTAATTTTAAAATGTAAACTTAAAGATATAATAAAAATAATTAATTTCAATTATTGTTGGAGTTGTTATTAATAATAACGTAATGTGAGAGTGCACCTGAAAACTACCAAAACAACTGCCCGCCGGTAAGGTGACATAACACACTAACTGACCCGTTTTTCAAGTCAGCACCGCTGGCTTGTTTAATTTGCCAAAACTCTTGTAAGGCTTCAACAACATTGACTGGAAATAAAAGGAAGAAAAAGAAAGAGTTATGAAGAAATTATTATCATCGCTTCCAGTAATTTTCGGAACAATAAAGAACTAATCAGGGTACGACAATAGGAAAAGGAGCTGCTCTGTTTCTCAAAGCTGAATCCTTTCGCAAGTAAGAGCATAGTTTCTGTTGAACAAACATATACATAAATAATAAATAGATAGACGTATTTCTGCAGTACGTTTGTATTCTTTAATAAATTCCTTTACCAATTTCTGTTAATACCTGATAGAAAGTTAAACAAAACATCTATCAAAGTCGTATAAAGCCTTGACCAGATGAACCCGCGAATTGCTTGTGAGCAACCACATGTTTTAGCACGACCCTAACGAGGCTTGCACGCGCTTGCCGATGTCCCGTCCAACCATTTGGTGGTTTATTGAAGCATAAAAGATGTCATACGCACTGTAGAACGCCACGTGGACCTTGTGGTTTTGGGAAGGTCGGCTCCAAGTATTTGAAAGTTTGGATCAAGTTATTTTTCGAGTCCTTTGCTACTTTTTGGCCGGTCATCTCTTCGCAAAAATCGTCTTCCTCTTGCTCCTCTCATGAGTGGCAATTCAGCTGCTCACGGATGTAGCGCGCTATTCGGTATCCTGTAAGCAGCCGCAGGTAGCTCTCTTCTGTGTTGCTCAGCTGACCTGTGCTGTGCGGAGACCCTTAAAGATCTTCCCATGGAGGCTGAATGGCAAAACTCGTCTTCGACCTTGAGCTCAATTTCGTAGCTCATCTTTTTGATTAGCAGGTAATCGCCGCTCGTTGTGAGGGCGCTTGTTTATTTGGAGATCTGTAGGTTGCTTAATCGGGTGGACAATTTTAAGGTTTCTTCCGATGACCTGGTTCTTCTCCTCTAGAGACGGCCATCTTAGTAAAGAAAAATTCAAGAACTTCCTGGTCTACCCTATATGAAGCCATAGGGTGAGCCTCCACCGGATCGTTCATTACGGGGGGACAGCCGCTAGACTGTCGGTCTTAAAAATTGTTTCCAATTAACCGCTCACAGCTTGCAGTTCGCCTTGAACTTCTCCCAATTGGTGGCCGATATGGAGCTTTGACGAAAGACGTTTGTGAACTGCACGAGTACTGTATAGAATTCGCAGAAGCGCTTAACATTATTCGCGAAGACATTTACATTAATTGCCATTTACAGCGCGGCTGGAGTTTTATTATTGAAGAACTGCACTATTTCGGTCATATGCCGAGGATGAGATTGTTCGTATGCAGCTACGCGCCCAGAAGCGCTGGGCGCGTTTCCTTGCGATAATAAGGGGTTTTCCTTTGGTTTATTTCTATATCCTTCTGATGGGTGGATATAGCAGATGTGAATGGTTAAGAATGGTTAAAAATGGTTAACTTCGCCATGCTTAAACAAAATAAAGGGGTAGAAGAATAACAGAATTTATAGAAGAACGAAATAACAGAACATTTGATTGAATAAATATAAGTCAGCAAATACAGGAGACCCACAGTCGGTAAATCACCGCGATATCAATTGTCGTCCCGGTATTGACGGTAAAGTAATATTTTGACACTTTAGACTTAGCCCGCAAGCTTGAAGTAATATAGCTGTTATATTTACTTGTTTTTGGCTGGCGGGAGCACCGTCCTCAAAGTCTGAGGGATATACCAATAAACTACGTGTAGAAATTGTTATCTACCCCGCGTCAAAGTGGAAGAAATTACAATTGATTGATTGACAACATTGCAACATTTGAACTTCTGTTCAAAAATCTCGCATAGGTTTCGCTGTGGACAAAGGTAATATAGATGCATTTCAGCATAATCTATGCCTTAGGCCTTAAAGTAAATAATTAAAATCATCTCTCCCCACCAAAGCACAAGGTAAGCCATGATTGGTTGCTATCGTTGGTTAGACTTCACTTTTTTTGGATGTACTCAAATCCAGTCCATCAACAGTTTATTTATTTTTCCGAGGAATTGCTATTTTGTGTGAAAAACGGAATATAAAATGTGTGTAACAATTTGTATGAAAATCGAAATATAAAATGTATCGAACAATTTGTAAGAAAAACGATATGTAATATGTGAGCCACATTTTATACTAAATTCTTTTGCAAATGTGTGAGCGGTCTCCTTATTTTTGCGAAAAAGCGAGAATGCTTACGACAAATACTACAAAGTTGAGCAGAAGGACAGATAGACAGCCGAAGCAGGGAAAAAGGTTGTCATGCTCTCCCTGGACATCAGCAAAGCCTATGACTTTGTCAACTTGATTAAGCTCTGTAGAATTCTCCTAAACTTTTCGATTCCTCTTCAAACGCGGCTGTGGATACTTAATTTTTTATCCAAGCGTGTATTGGTGCTGGGCTAATCTTAATTTATATTTTAACCCCAGCAAGACAAACACTATTTATTTTGCCAAAGGTTCTAAACGTGAAATCAGACTTCTTATCAAAGGTACCTAAGTTAATCAGGTTCTTCGATTTCTTGGGAGAATTTTAAATGACAGCTTAACCTTTCGTGGGCATTATGAAAGGGCGTTCAAAGATTGTCAGTCTGGATGCAACATCATCAAACTCATGACAAACAATCAGGCAGGCTTGCCTCCCAAAAATGCTTTGACCGTTTACAAATCTCTAGTCAGGTCCAAAATTGAATTTGGACATTCCACATGTTGCAATTTCCCAAAATATATTAAAAAACGTTTACAAGCATTTGTAAACCGAATGTTAAAGCGTTGTACTGGACTGACCCCCTCAACTCCTCAACATATTCTCAATGTTATATCTGGTGAATGGCCAGTTTCCGAAAGAGCCCTTTTTTGCACTGCCAAGGAGTTAATTAATGTCAAGATGATAAAACCTTCCTTTTTTCAGGAAATTATATCTCTCAGTGACACTGTCACTTGCAGCTATACTTTTTGCTATCAAAAACTTCGTCATATTTTTGATAAGTTAGATTCAATTCCCCCCTTGCCTTTCATTACCAGCAAATGCAAAGTCTTCATGAACATTCTCGAACCAATCTCTACCTCAAAACAAAATGTCAACTTCTCTTGTATAAGGTTGTTATGCCAAGAAAAGCTCCTTTTTTATTACAACAACGGATATGATATATATGCCACTGACGGTTCCGTCGGACATAATGTATCCGGCTTCTCGGTCGTGAAACATCTATCTGAAACAATACTTCGAGTCAAAGTGGAAGAGGAACTTTCCTCTACTTTTATTGAGTTGCTCGCCATTCGACATGCTATCATGATTGCTGTTTCCGATGGTATCAGACGTTTTGTTATTTTTTCCGACAGCAGGTCTGCTCTACTTCTAATAAATAAAAGAGATGCAGAAAATCAATATGTGTTTGACATTCACAAGACATTGCACGAATCTCAAGTGGATGACTGTCACCTCGTTTGGGTACCTGGCCACTGCGGCTTTTTTTTAAATGTAAAAGCCGACTTTCATGCAGGGAGAGCTCGTGTTGATGGGATAATTTTGTCCATCAAATATACTCCCAATGAAGCAATTCGGGCAATTCGCAGCCACATCCTTCAACAGCTAAACGACGAATTTAAAGTAATCGCGCGCGTTAAATCCAATCGTCTTTTCTATAAATTAAATCCCACATTTCAGTTCAAACCCTTCTCTGTTTCTGCTTTTAATTCCTGGGAAATCAAAATTCTTTATAGGCTCATGAGTGGTCACACTTATGTTTATTTGAAAATGATTCGCGCTATACCATGTGATGTTTGTGAAGTTTGCAATGTTGTTGAGTCTGCTGAGCATCTAATCTTCAGATGTCACAGGCTTGATGGCATTAGAGATTCCTTTAGCTTCTTCAAGTTATATGGCTGTCTCCTCGATCTCTTTGCAGAAAAAAATGTACGTCATCTCGGGGAACTAACTTGCTTTATTAGAAAAGCCAATTTATCCTTTTAGAATTTTTCTTTTTCCTCCTCTTTCTTTTTTTTTTTTTTTCCTTTTTTTGCGTTCAATCATTTTCAATTTCCATGACATTCCCTTTCGTTTTCAGCCAAAGTTTGCAATACTGTCTGAGCTTCAGGAGCTCAACAAGCACACTTACACACACACACACACACACAATTACATTTAACATGTTCACTCCAGTTATTACGGCCGCTCTTATTTTTTTGTTACGGTTTATACATAATCGTGACTAAAAATTACAACAGTTTATTATTTGGACATATAAGCCACAAATTTATTGGCCATCTCTGTTCAATAAAAAAAAAAAAAAAGAGTAAGTCGAATGGAATAGACGTTTAAGAAGAATAGGTAATCACTTTAAAATAATCTGTCATAAGGTGTAATATCGACTTAGCGTAGAAGTGATGAAATCTTAAAAGCCCAAGTCTCCAGCTCCATGTATTTCTATATAAATTTCATTGTAATGCATCAATAGTCTGAGTAAGTTTGAAACCAGTTTTCGGCGGCTCTAGGAAATACCAAAGTAGTATATTCGAAAAATTTCAGCTTTCACTCCTTAATTGGTTAATGAATTAATTTCTAAAAATGGTTTGCAAATTTTTATGGCGAACATATCTCTCCTTCTTGCAAGGACCAAGAGGGAAACCACATGAAACAGAAAGTGAATTAGCCGCGGTTGCAACTGTTTTTGGGAACTTCGTAAACCAAGAAAGCAGTCTTTGTTGTCGATTTTGCAATAAATTAAAATCTCTTCTAATCTGATATAAATGATTTAAGCATGGGCGAATATTTTTAAAGACATATTTCTTTTTAATTATCTTTCCCTTAAGTAATGCAGCGAGAATTTGCAAGATCAGGCTGCGAAGGCAACTTCTTTGTTACCGATTTCGCAATAATCTCCTGGTCTTAGCACTTATGTATTGAGCAGCTTGGCATCTAAGCAATGTAGTGTTGCGTAGGAAATGGAAAGGTATGTAAATTGCAATTTTATCCAGTTTTCAGCAACACAATACTAATTTCGCACTTAATAAAAGGCCGGACAAGTGGGCGAAATAAACTACAAAGGTTTCCATTTGGTACTATTGAATTAAATTTTTGTAGTCTGATTTAAATGAAGCTGCTATCAAAACTCATCAAACACTTTCAGAAGTCTATGCTGACGCTGCTTCATCAATTGCCAATTGTCGATTTTAGTCTCAACGGTTTAAAAGTTATGAATTTGATGTCAATGACAAAGAACGGCTTGGAGCACCAAGAAAGTTCTAAGAGATTGGATTGCAAGACTTTATATAATTTCACACTTTCATCGCAGGATGACCTGTCCGTTCTGCTTAAATATGCTGGCTGAAGTGTGTGGCGAAAAGGTACTTTTGCTGGCTTCCGATTGTGTTGCCAATGTTCGTTTTAACGTAGCGAAAAGTTTGCAAGAAATGTCACCTTATCTTGAAAGCAGTGTTATTGACACTCAAGCTAAACGTACTTTGGAAAAACTTAATAGCGGTGTAGACGTCGATGTAAAACATTTTGACTCGGAAGCTATGGCAGGAATAGCAGCAGGTAAATAACATCCGAAAATGTGTGTGGAATGAATATTTTGATAGTAACTTCGTTTACCATTCGGAATTTTAAGGATAGCGTAGCAAATTTTTTAAATTTTCAAGCCTGATTCAAATGCGTTGAAAAAGAACATATTCACTCAATCGTTTTTTTGATATCGATTATTTAGAAACTACGACTTTTTAGTGAGAAGAATTTTTCTTTCGGAAAATTTTGGAAACGATTAACGTAGTTTGATCAAGATTATAAAAATAACGTATATTCCGATAACTTTGTAAAAAAAGCTATAAAATTTACCGGCCCACCATTAAATCTGCTTACGCTACTTTACTTCAAACCATTATACATACAAAAGCTTTCCAGTGATCCGATCGGACCAATTTTCAATAGCTTTAGCCAGACGAACAAACACGCTTAAACCGATTCTTAAAATGATTCTGAATCCATCAGTATAATAAAGGGTGAGTCAAGTGCTTGTTGCATACATCAGCACAAATTTATTGTGACCTTGTGTCACAAGCGGCATATATAATAATTAAAATACTGGAAAGCTATTGTACCAAATTCTACCATTCCGAGTGGCGCCGAAAAATGCCTATATATAAAATATATTGTGTAAGATTCCATGTTAAATTTGTCATGCCCCCTGCCTTCGGGATTACTTAAACCATTTAGTACGCAGGTAGATCTTAGAAGCGACTATAGTGTTGAATTAACGTAAGCCCAAAGAATGCAAGCAAAACCTAGGTAAAATACAAATTACAAATGAAATACATGGTGTGGACCTAATGTTATCTTTTCTTTAATAACTTCTAATAATGATATGTATTTTTTATTTACAGCGTAGACTATATCTAAGTGCAGTTAATAAATTGAGGCTCAAACTAGTCTTCACCATTTTTGTCTAAAAAGAGAATCTCAATTACGTATAAACCAATCATAATTGTAGTAAAAAACGAAGTGTTGAATCTGTGTGGAGATCAAAACAATTTAAATGATACTGAATAAAATTGTTATGTTCTTTAAAGATCCTTGAACTAATTTCTTATATACCATGCATTTGCACGCTCTTCCTGTCGAAAAATTATAAAACGAAAATGTTCTATTTTATTTTATTTAAAATTAAAAACAAACAAAATTCTTGTGTATACTTTTGTAAAATTTTTCTTTATATCTTATAATAACTGCAAGTTTCCATTCAATGTATAAAAAAATTGCCGCCATAAAAAATAGCGATTAATCTTTATGCAGTCGTTTATTAAGGAAACTAACTCATTTGAAAATGAAGCAGTTAGGGTTTTCTATATAATTTTTGACAAAAAATGTTTTATTAGTTCATTCTCTTTTATATACAAGCGGCACATCGTCCTGCAACATGGGTTCCTGAATTACGAAAATATATTAAAGATTCGCAACTACAAGCAAGTCTCTCCCCACTTTTAACAAACGCAAGAAACAAAGCATAAATATAGGTTCATTTTTCAATTGATTTAATTGTGGATTTTTAAAGAAGATATAATTTTTGTTACTTTTTTTACCATTACACTTTAAAAAATCGTTCTTCAAAAGGCACCGTATCGTTCGTATTGGCGACGGATATTTCATTTTCTTTTTTAGTTTCTTTCACTAATGAATCCAATCGGTATCAATATTATTTCTATCTTCGTCATCGTCTTCGGTATCTTTAGGAGGTGGTATTAGCGAAGAAAATCTTGATATTACTGGGTTACCAAATTGACTTTTATACTCTGATTAGGTTGATTATATTAATAAACTTACTGCACTTTCTTCCTCTTTGTTACTCCCTGATATGCGTTTGCGGCTCATTAAAAGTTTATTGTGCAAACTTGCCATTAAACTATCACTTGCACGCGGATTTGAGCCTTGTGTGGTTTCATTGCTTTTCATGTTTAAAGGAGGAAAGCAGCAGTATGTCTTAGTTGGGACTACCTATTTGAATTCATTAAAAACAAGAATAATAACAGAAAAAATTGAAAAATGTCCAAGTAAAATAAGGATAAATAAATTGGTATTTGTTAAGTTTTCAAATTTTCGTTTCATTTGCTTTTTATATAAGATAAGAAAAATTTATTCAAACAGAGAATTATGCTACAGATGTAAAAATAAAATAACAATTTTGATCGAGAATTTTCCTGAGTGTTTATTCAGTTTTTTTTTGGATTGTTGAGTGGAAACGGACTAAGCCAACAGATTTGTCGGTTATATGTTTAGATAATAAAATGAGGTAATTTTGATCACAAATATGTATAAACACGGAGCATACGTAATAACGATATAACTTTCTGATAAAGGAAAGGATTCATCATCTTGACCTTAATTAACCCCTTGGCAGTGCAAAAAAGAGCTCTTTCGGAAAAGGGTCACTCACCAGATATGACGTTGACAATATGCTGACGAGTTAAGGGAGTCAGCCCCATACAACGTTTTAACATTCGATTTTCAATTGTTTGTATACGTTTCTCAATATATTTTGGGTAATTGCAGCATGCGGAATGTACAAATTCAATTTTGAACTTGACTAAAGATTTGTATACAGTCAGAGCATATTTGGGAGGCAAGCCTGACTGATTGTAAGTCATGAGTTTGATGATGTTACATCCAGATTGACAGTCTTTGAAGGCTTTGTCATAATGCCCACGAAGGGTTAAGCTGTCATTTAAAATTCTACCAAGAAGCCGAAGAGATTTCACCTGATGAACTGTAGTACCTTTGATAAAGAGCCTGATTTCACGTTTAGAATCTTTGCCAAAATAAATAGTATATGTTTTGCTAAGGTTAAAATATAAGTTGAGATCGGAACATGCATCGAAAAAAATTGGCTTTCATCGAGAGTTTATTGACAGCAGCAGAAAAAGATGAGTCCGCAGATACAACTAGGAAGTCATCTGCTTTTTGAAAAATATGAGTTTTGTCATCTTGAAGATCATGCAAAGAAACTGTGTATAGATTGAAAAGTATGGGGCTTAAACAACTGCCTTGTGGTGTACCACACATAGTCTTTATGAACACAGATATTAGTGAAATTGGTCTGAAGTTACTTAAGTCATTTAAGTCTTTACCTGCCTTAGGAATGGGAACTATTTTGGTGCATCGCAAATCTGAGGGTATAAAGTTAGTGGACCAGCAGTTGTTAATTGCATGCAAGAGAGTGTTAAAGCTTCTTCCAGACAGTGCTCTGAGCATGTCATAGATATTGAGCACATCCAAGTATCTATTGTTACCATGGTCATTCCGCACAGCACAACCGTTTAATTTTCGACTAAAATGTTGATGGCCATTGATATAATTCCAGAAAGAACGTGGGTTATCGTTACCACATAACTCTTTAATCGCGATAGCTCTGTGTTCTTTTCGCTCTTTTAACTGCAGGTCCCCATTCTTTTAGTGTTTTCATATATTCAATGTAGTTAGCTGGATTGGCATATTTACTCATTTTTTTCCTTGTAGCTTGGTATATGCGGAAAAGTTGTCATGAGACTCGTTACTTTCATTGCCGGCTGAGTATTTGTCTTTTTCTGACAAAGAAATAAAAATAAAAAGAAAAGTCCCGTCGGTTGTCTGCCGTTCGTCTGTCCACTGTAAGTCAGTCGGTCGTCGTCTGGCGTCGGCCCTACATAGCCATCACATGCACACCCCTTCGTCTCAGCCACAGCGGTGGCAGCTCGCGCTTAGCCACTCATCGGGGACAAAAAAATTAAATAGACTAAAAATGACTTACAATACAAGCATCGGCGTCGGTGCAGTGTCGGCCGCGGTAGCTGCTACATCCGCAATCCCTGCTCCTCTTTCTATTAAGCCTTTTCCACTCCAATACAAACTTTAATTCCCATTGCTGTGTGCGTAGGTGCACGCGGGTAAACGCTGTTTGCAATAATAAACTGGGATCTTTTTGATGATAATGTTGAAGAACTTTTTTATTAACAATTTCCTGAGTTTTTATAAATAATTTTTACAATTTTCTTTATCTTATTTGATTAATTTCTCTTCCGGACAAATTTCTTAAGCCGTGCAGTTTTTTTTTCTTTACTCCAATTGCGTTTACTTTGTCAAGTTGCTGTATTGGTTATTTTTTTTTTTGTTTATGTAAATCCTTTTCTATTTTTTATTATAAAACATTGTTCTGTTGATAAGAAAACTTTTTTGCTTCTTGTTTGACAAAAAAAACGTATTGAAAGAACGGTGCAGCCATTACTCTTGCCTGGCTTCTCTTATGCTTCTTTTAATTGTTCCACCTTCTTTTTTTTATTGTTTTTTTTTTTCTGTTATTTGAGGTTTTAATTACAATTTATCCTTTTTTTTTGAATTTCGATTTTCAGTTTGAGCCCATATTTCAGAAAAAAAAACAAACAACCACGGCTCAGCCGTACAATCAAAAAACAATAGAAAAGCAAGCGCACTCGTTGAGGTCTACACTGCAACTCAACTAGAACTAAAAACTCAACTTAAAACTATCCCCTCTGACTTAAATTAAAACGCAGACAGACTTCTCCTTTTTACTCAATTTCCCTCTTCTTCTTCCTGTTGCTCTCTCTATAACGGCTTGCCGCTACTCTCACAAGAGCAAGCATAGATCCCGCAAAATCATACGATTTTGCCTATGCTTGCAAAAGCAGAAGGAAAAAAAAGGAGTACCGCAAAATCATACGATTTTGCCTGTACTTGTAAACAAGGAAATCAGAGAAGAGCAAAATAAACATATCCCGCAAGATCACGTGACTTATAAACAGTACTACAAAATCGCATGATTTTGTCTAACGGCATGCCGTTATTCCGATACTTGCGGTTGATACAGACCGACAGACACCCTACCCAAGGTTTGTTCGCGGCCGTTACAAAGTGTTGACAGGGAAAAGTTTGTCATGAAACTCTTTTCCTTTCCTCGCCGCTGAGGATTTAAATTTTTTTCTTTAGACAAAGAAAGAGAAAAAAAAAAAAAAAACTAATAAAAAAACAAACTAAATGAACGAAAAGGTCCGGTCGGTTTCCTGCTGTGCGTCTGTCACCAGTGAGTCAGTCGGTCATCGTCTAGCGTCGGCCCTATATGGCCACCATGTGCACGCCCCTACACCTCAGCCACAGCGGTGGCAGCGCACGCTTAGCCACTCATGGGTAACAACAAAATTAGATAGCTTAAAAATAACTTACAGTACAGGTACGGTGGTGGTGGTGGTGGTGATCGTTCACTTGATGAATATTATCACTTTCATCGTCGGCTGCAGCTATCACAATGCTACCAATAAATTGTTGCTGTTGTTGTTGCTTCTGCCGTTCTACTGGTGAATCTTTAACAACTGCCGGCGAATGCTTCACAGGATAACCAAAGGCTGAGAATGGTTGATGTGACACCCTATCGGTAATTGGTGGCTGTTGCCGTAAATGCTGTTGATAATTAACACGTCGTTGTTGCTGTTGCTGTTCACCTTCGTTTAATTTTATTTATTTCTTTTGCACTAAATTAAATCAAAGTTTATTTCGATCTCAAATGTGAATGCCTGCGAGAAATGTACCTCTTTTATTACATTTTACATTTTTGTTTTTCAGATCTTTTTCTAATCATATAACGCGTTCTCAATTTTAGAAATTTCATCAAATTATTTTTTTGCGCTTCTTACTTTAATTGTCACTTTAACTTCACTTGTCCCTTTATATGTAGCGAACTGCCCGATGGGAAAAGAAAACTGTACACGTTTGTAACCAAAATTTATTTCGTTTTAGAAAAAAAAGGAATGCACACGAATATTGACAATTTTACTGATTTTAAACCAAAATAACTCCACTTTCTTCTGAAATTACCATTGTCTTATAATAAATTTTCAGTTATTTTTACTGCTTTAGACCTTTAGGCCTTTAATAAATTTCGGGATCTTTAATGGTTATTGCGCAAATGACTTCTAATGATTGATGCTCCGTTTCTAAACCATATGTGCCGAATAGAGAAAACATTTTGTTTATTTTTGCTCCTTATTTTTTTGGTTTTTTTTTTTTTCTTTTATTCTTTTAATTGCTTTACATTTTGTTGCTTTCGATTTCTTCTAGGCTTGCGTATAAAATACAATGTTTGAATCTTTTTTGATAATTATTCATATGCATGGGTTTGAGGTATGCAACACAAACTTATGTCTAGAATTTGACTTTTGTTAGTAAAGTTCTTTCCTTGAATAAATCTTCATATGTACGTAGGTGCAATAGCACACAATGGGAAGTTTCCTTTTCTTCATATTGGAATCGAAAAAAAAACGCGAATCTCCATCACATCAAATTGTACTTCTCCAACGTTTCCCCCTTTTTTTTTTGTCTATTTAATTACAATTGCATTATTTGCTTAATGAAGGCAAAGTAGGGAAAACCAACCACACATACTCTTTGATATCACCCTTTTTACTTAAACACACAACAAGTAAAAGGTAAGCACTATGTAAAATGTTAACAGAACTGCTGTAAATAACAAGAACCGCACTCAGCGAGAGCCTGACTCCGACTGACTTCAACTCAGAACTATCCCCTCTGACTTCAATTTTTGAAACGCAGACAGACTTCTCCTTTTTACTTCATTTCCCTCTTCTTCTTCCTGTTGCTCTCTCTATAACGGCTTGCCGCTACTCTCACAAGAGCAAGCATAGATCCCGCAAAATCATACGATTTTGCCTATGCTTGCAAGAGCAAAAGGAAAAAAAAAAGGAGTACCGCAAAATCATACGATTCCGCCTGTACCTGCAAAAGCAAGCAAAGGTACCGCAAAATCATACGATTTTGCCTGTACTTGCAAAAGCAAGCAAAGGTACCGCAAAATCATACGATT